TATAATGTATGCTATACGAAGTTATTACGAACTGCATATGCATAGCATAACACCGTCTTGACCAATGAGCATTCAAGTGAGTGATCTATGACGCCTTTATACTAGATGCTATACTAGATGCTTGGTTGAAACGATTTTATGCTATGCATATGCAGTTATGTCATTTTGTGTGCGATGTCCTTATCAATTTGAAGGTTGGCGGGTTTGTTAGTTTGCGTGCACAGTAGGAGGCGCTGAACTTATACTCCCCTCTTCCGTTTCCCGCAACACCAAATCGGCCTACAAACTGGCCTGGTGCTCTGTCCCTATATTCCTAAGTCCGTGATATGTAAGCACTGGTATACACTGTATATGTATGGACGAAATCAATAATGTCCTACACATAAGAAGTTGCAGCGCCCAATTCAGGATTATGTCTGATGGTTTGACCTCTTTAAGCATTTGAAATGTGTGACAATTAAATGTAAAACTATAATTGTAATAATATATTTCATATAATAAGTAAATTTAGTCAATAAAGATAGCTTTAAAATTTTTACCAATAGTCATGGTATACATAAATATCTAGATACGATGCGAACGATCCAAAGTGAAGAAAATAGACTTATCACGTATCAATGTGTTATTTAGATACGACCAATCACTAATCAATGCATTATTTAGAGGCATTGCATCTAATAGCGTTTCGAGTAAACGGGGTTTAGGTACGATCTAGGGTTGGATCAATCACTATTTTACTTATGAATGCAAGTACTTTCTATTGGTGGAGAGATTGCAATGACGTCATTAACCAATCTTGGTCGTTCAACCCGTTACTCGAAAACGCTATAAATATTTCTGCATTGTGCTCAAAGTTGTGTTTGAGTTGACATCTTAAATTGACCGCGTTCAGCAGACTCAACAGTTGTAGATTTTCCGTTGAATCTCGACTCGTGATTTGTTGGTTCTAAAAGTAAGAGCCAATCACGTTCGATTGCTACTAAGCGGTTTGTTCCGCTGAACGCAGTCATTGGGCGCGTTCAGCAGAACAAATCGCTTGGTAGCAATCGAACATGATTGGCTCTTACTTTTAGAACCAACAAATCAACGTTAAGTGTTGACTAGACGACAATTCAGCAGTTGTTCTGCTGAACGCAGCCATTGTTAGACAGATTAAACATAAGCTTAAATAACAGCTGACAGCTATACACAACATCGGACTAATCAATGGGCGCGTTCAGCAGAACAAATCGCTTAGTAGCAATCGAACGTGATTGGTTCTTACTTTCAGAACCAACTAATTAACAGTCGAGGTTCAGCGGAAAATCTACAACTGTTGAGTCTGCTGAACGCGGCCAATGAGATATCTTTAGGTTTTTCAACAATTCTTATGAACGAATACTCAGACACGATGTGTTCAAATTGAAAATATCTAGCCGGAAGTGGGAGTAAGGAATTACGCATTAATATGCAAAGTTCTTCCGATTGATCTGCTGTCCAAAGTTTCATCAGTCAATCATATGCTTTAACAACGTACATTTACCACACCTACAATTTCTGTGTCTCGTTTAATTGACTGTGTAAATAGTGCTCGCGCACAGTGTGATACAACCAACCTGCAGTTGAATTTCAGTTACTGTTAAAATGGGTAATAGATCGAGTCTTCTCCTGCGCGAAGATGAAATAGCACAGATACAAAATGCTACTGGTTGCAAGTATCCATATTGTCTATTTATTCCGTCTGAAGTGATCTTGATATATTTCACGTCAGCGATAATCTGTAAAAATAATTTTTAATGAGATGCATAATTATATTGTTCGTATTCTTTATTACAGTTACACCGAACCAAATTGAGCGATTATATAGCCGCTTTACAAGTCTAGATCGCGGAGATTGTGGAACACTAAGTCGTGAAGATTTTCTTAGAATTCCAGAATTAGCAATAAATCCACTTGGTGAAAGGATAGTGAACGCTTTCTTTGAGGAAAGCGGAAATGACAGAGTAAATTTCTTACAATTCATGCAAGTCTTGGCTCATTTTAGACCTATTAAGAAGAATAGTCCTAATCGATTGAACTCCAGACAGCAGAAGTTGAGATGTAAATATTGTTATTATATATATATATATATATATAGACATTTTATAGTTGTGATACAAATTGAATTTAATACTATTTGTCTTTTTTTTTACATATTAAGCATTGTTGCTAAATTAAATTCTTTTCCAGTTGCATTTAAAATGTACGACTTGGATAATGATGATTTGATATCAAAAGATGAATTGCTTGCTATCTTGCACATGATGGTTGGTGCTAATATTAGGTAAAGATTATATTTTTATTTTATAAAAACTTTTAAGATTAATCTTTGAGATGCATCATGTAAATAAAGATTTAATATAAATCTAATAATGAACACATATTGTTGCAGTGAAGAACAATTAACTAGTATTGCAGAACGAACCATATTGGAAGCAGATGAAAATGGTGACAGTATGATATCATTCGAAGAATTTTGCAAAGCATTAGAACGTACGGATGTTGAGCAAAAAATGTCCATAAGATTTCTCAGTTAAAAATTGATTGTAGCTATGTAAAATATTACATAGAATTTATAAATAGGGGTTGATATATTGTAAATTTATTGCTATTATGAGATTGTGCAAAATATATCTATCTATGTAAATAGCAAACAAAATTGTTTACAATTTTGAGATAAAAAATAGTAATTGGCGGTATAATGTACGATATTTAATACGTTTACTGTCTGTGTATTCTTATGTGGTTTAGGATAGATATAATTCAGTATATATTTAAAAGCATTCTCAAATAGTGAATGTGTTAAGTCCTTCCAAATTTTTGTGAGACTTGGGAATTGAGCAAACATAACTGAATGTACATGAATATGCATATTGAATATATGTATATAAACGATAGTAAATTAAAATATACTTAATTTCTTAAACGAGATAAAGTTGTCTAATTATCGTTTGATTAATTTTGTATGTTAAAACATAAAAAAATTCATTGCACGAGTTTCTATCGTAATAGAAAAAAGCAGAAATAATGTTATGTATTTGAAACACAAAACCGAAAACATTGTTTATTTTGTTTTACAAATTTTAATCCTCAAATTTTTTCTAAATGAAATTTGTGGAGTTAGTTTTTGCAAATTATATGATAATTTTAACAATTAGATATGATAATTAAAAAATGTCTAGTAAATGTTTATAAATTAAATATAAATTGTGTATTATATACATTAATATATACTATATTGTATGTACTATATATTGCAGAGAAAAAAAATAAAATAAAATAAAACCATATTTAAAATAAATGAGTATATTAATAAATAATAAGGGACAATTAATGAAAACAAAGTTCAAATTCTAAAAGTATGACATTAAAAAGCTTTACAAAATCAAAATATTTCACAGAAAGTAAAGTTAAAGTAAGTTAATATATTGGATTATCGTTTATCGTCTTTAAAAATCTTTTTGTAATTTTTGTTGGGAGAAAAATATATTCGTATCCAAAACATTAATATTTTTACTTTTATTAAAGATCGATATTTTCGTATCAACATATTACATATGACTATTATTTATAGGTCATACGTGTAGTTTCTGCGATAACATAAATTAATGTATAGATATTATACATAATTATATGTAATTACATTAAAATATGTAACATTAAATAATAATGCATAATATCGGTGCATTAACGTTTGTCAGCAACAGAACATCTTACATTCTCTTTAATTATCTATGTTGACTCGTATTAGAATGACGTTTGATGGTTGCGCTTTACGCTGAGAAAGATGAGAGGAAATCAGTAACTATTTTTTTCAGTTTTGCATCTGATGCTTCACTGATTATGTTTTCTTTCGCAATAGTGGCCAGAAGATCTTGTTGAGTAGACCTGGAAAAGAATAGTATTTGTAAAAATATGTGCAATTAGTTTAAACATACATTATATAAAATATATCACATACTTAATGTGTGCAAGGAATTCTTTCTCAAAGGCAGTAATTTTTGTAGGATCCATCTTGTCAAGATAACCACGTACACCACAATATATGACGGCTACCTGTTCCTCAATAGCCATAGGTACTGAAAACAAAAATATTTCAAATGTAAAAATGTGCAAATGACTAATTTGTATCACAAAAATGATTAATATTAGAATCGGATAACAATTTTACCGTATTGTCCCTGTTTGAGAAGCTCCGTTAACCTCACGCCACGGTTTAACAACTGTTGGGTTGCAGCGTCCAGATCTGAACCGAATTGAGCGAATGCCGCTACTTCACGATATTGAGCCAATTCCAATTTCATAGAACCGGCAACCTATGCAATAGAGTAGAATTTTTTTTATATATTGATCAGATATATTAAAAATTTTGCATACAGTACCTGCTTCATGGCCTTGGTTTGAGCAGCAGATCCGACACGCGATACGGATAAACCTACGTTGATAGCAGGTCGGATACCCTTATAGAACAATTCAGTTTCCAAGAAGATTTGACCATCGGTAATAGAAATCACATTCGTTGGAATATATGCAGACACATCACCGGCTTGTGTCTCAATGACAGGCAAAGCAGTCAACGATCCACCACCCAAACTTTCGTTCATCTTGGCCGCTCTCTCGAGCAGACGAGAATGGAGGTAAAATACATCGCCAGGATAAGCCTCACGACCCGGTGGTCTTCTCAGCAACAAAGACATTTGCCGATAGGCAACAGCTTGTTTAGATAAATCGTCGTAAATGATTAAAGCATGTTTTCCATTGTCTCTGTAAATAATCCATGCGTATAAATTTATAGCGATAAAATTCAATAATATTATGCACAGGTGCATTATTTTGAATTTAGAAACAGATACAAATAGTATAATATAAATGTTTACATATTAACCTGAAAAATTCTCCCATGGCGCATCCAGAGTACGGGGCCAAGTACTGAAGCGGAGCTGCATCAGAGGCGGTGGCAGATACAATGATAGTATAATTGATAGCACCGCTATCTGTCAAACGTTTTACAATTTGCGCAACAGTAGATCTCTTCTGACCAATAGCAACGTAAATGCAGTATAACTTCTTTTTCTCTTCTCCGGCATCGTTGAAACGTTTCTGGTTGATGATAGTATCAATGGCAAGCGCAGTTTTTCCGGTCTGCCTGTCTCCAATGATCAACTCACGTTGACCACGACCAATAGGCACCAAAGAATCCACAGCTTTGATTCCAGTTTGCATAGGCTCTCTGACTGATACTCTGTTATAAAAGATGAGAAACATTAAAAAAAAACTTATTTTTTTTATTTTTTAAGAAAGAGAATAATCAGAGGAAGAGAAATATCAATTAATTTTCTTATTTAAAAATAAAATGTTACTTGGAAATCTATGGTCTACAAAACATTATAATTAATATAAATTACCTGGGAATAATACCAGGAGCTTTCGTTCCAATACGGAACCTCAATTTGCTGTTCAACGGTCCCTTGCCATCAATAGGATTACCCAAGGCATCAACAACACGACCCAATAGTTCTTCGCCAACAGGGACATCCACAATGGCACCAGTACGTTTGACAATATCACCCTCCTTAATGTGTCTGTCATTACCGAATACGACAACACCTACATTGTCAGGTTCTAAATTCAATGCCATACCCTTCAAGCCTGAGCTGAATTCCACCATCTCATCGGCTTGAATGTTTTTCAGCCCGTACACGCGTGCAATACCATCTCCAATGCTGAGTACTCTGCCGGTCTCTTCAAGATTAGCCTAAGATATAAATACTTTTTGTAAGATATTTGAAAATAATCTCTTAATAAGTATATGCAACATTTTATAAAGATACAAGGTCAGAATATTTGATAAAGAATAATTCGAGTAATAATTTTATCTGTGATAAAACTGATTTACCTTTGGTGCTGATCCAAGGATACGTTCTTCCAGAATAGCAGAAATTTCTGCGGAACGGCGGCTGCAGGAGACATGATACTTGCGAGAAGCTATAACAGTTGCAGGCCAGTTAACCTACAATAGGAAAATATATCTATATGTATGACTGCCAAATAATTTATTAATCGATATAAACTGAAGATATTTGCAGACAAGGAAAGATATATCTATATATACGGTCAAATGTTCTGTTGAAACTCTTATTACATAACTTGCTGCTCTAACTTTATGTAATACACTGTATATTATTGACATCTCTAATACTATGTAAATGCTATTATCGACTTATATGTAAAAGAAAACTTGCTTCACTTTTTATTTTATATGATTTTACGATCGAAAATAACAAGTGGATAAATCGGAGTGCAGTGCGATTCTGACAAAGTGGAAAATGTCGGCACATTTGAAGGCATGTTTCATCTCACGGGCACAAGTGTTTAATGAAACACCATTTCTTCGAATTACCTGTGCTGTGGTATTTGATAGGTGTCTGACCAAGGCCGAGGCCAAACGTAAGGATAAGAGTGCCATTTTTTAACGTGTTAAAAGCCCGTCGGCCGGACCAAAAACTAACAACGACAAGAAGACCGATTGACTCAAGATACCGACCGACAGAGAGTAGGCAGAAGGGAACGTCTGGTGGTATACGTTGCTCTTCCGTCCATCCCCACCCGTAAACTCTGCCCATCATGCGCAGAAAATCGACGATCATTGATTTGTTCATGTTACCTCGTACATGACTCCCACAAAACGTACCGATTCATTTTTTTGGCATTTTATAATACAGATATTTAACTATTATATGTGTAAATGTAAAAACTATTATGTTCCATATGTATTTTAATATTAATTCCTGCACAAAGTGTACGATATTGTACAACGAAAAGTAAATTTCCTATTGGCGTCTGCGCCGTGCACGTTTATTCCGATGTAACGCGGAAAATTTGAATATATATACGCGGATCAGAAATTATATATTGATAAATAAAAAAGTTGTATATTGATATTAATACAGCAAAATTAATGTGATTATCAAGTATGCGCAGATATTAAGAATATATATATAACATATCATAATTTACTTTTTATAATTACGACAAAGAAAATATTTTTTTAAATTTACATTTACAAATTAATGTAAAATTAAATGCAAATTTTATTGAGTTTACGAGAATATGTTAGAATAGAAGAGTAATAGAGTAAAATTGTAATACAAGAATAATATACACGATTAGTCGCATCTGTTTCATTTTTTAGATTCTTCAAATTTATATCACGAGCTGATCATATAAATAAAATGCTTATTATTTGTATAAAGTGACAAATAATAAGTATAGATATCAACATTAAACATTTTCGCGTTTTCATAGTTATGTATAGTGAACAGCCATACAGGCCGTAGTATATGGGCGGACTGCGAAATGCAGAAGGGTGTAAAAGCGTCATTGCACCGGCGCCGAGCACTTGGTTATTTCGCTTCGCGTCAATTCGTCGTATCGATTATCCTCGTTTACCGCGTGTGACGAGCCGCTTTCACTTAAAAACAAACGTATAATAAACGAATAAAGGCGAAGATTACATGGAAAGAACTTTGACGTATAAAATGGTGTTGGCACTTGCCAGAATATTACAATTTTTTTGTTTCGTTTGACTTGGGAGAATGAAGTTCCGAATTTAGCGAATTGTTTATAATTCTAATCAAGTAACAATTAACTGCCTTTGGCTGTGATTGACAAATCAGTTATTTATAACGAGGGAATTGTCATAAAAAATGCATATATATTTCATATCAGAGTTGGTGCATATATATGTATGTATACAACTTTGGCAATTCCAACGATTCTGACAGTGTATGGAGAACAATTTGTTTGTGAAACTTCTCTATCTTGTATCAAAAAGTTGTCCAGTGTTGAACAAGTAAAGGCAACATGGATTCTGCAACAGAACTGGAACATATAGAGAAACTGGCAAAAGAAGCTGAATGCTTGAAAATACGTTTGGAAGATGAACGACAAAAGTTGAATGATATCACACGTAATTATTTATCATGATTACACATATCTTATACATATCATGATTAAGTTTCAAATTTTATCAATATTCTACTTTTCTTACTTTTTGAAAAGCATATATTACTTTTGTATGAGTGTGATTTTTATTAATAATATTAAACAAAATTTAACATTTATATCAATAACATCTAAATAATAAAATGTACTTACACTTTCATTTTTTGTTTTAGTTGCCAGTATAGCGGATAGGCTTGAATCAATTAATTGTATAAATGTAAAACCCAGACGTATTCTAAAAGGACATCAAGCCAAAGTTCTATGTTCAGACTGGTCTCCTGACAAGCGTCATATTGTTTCTTCTTCACAAGTAAGTTTTTTGTTGTACCTTATGTTATGTTGTGTATATATCATGTTACTATATATATATATATATATATTCCACTCTTAGGATGGAAGAATGATTATATGGGATGCCTTTACAACAAATAAAGAACATGCCGTTAGTATGCCAACTAGATGGGTAATGGCATGTGCTTATGGTCCCAGTGGCACCTTGGTTGCATGCGGGTATATATTTATCATTTAGAAGTAAAATATGTTAAAAGTCAGATTTAATGTAATAAGTTCTGCTCACACATTGCTTGATAATGTTTTAGAGGTCTGGATAATAAAGTTACAGTGTATCCACTGAGTCTGGAGGACGATGTCTCAGCTCATAAGAAAACTGTTGGCACACATACATCATACATGTCCTGTTGTGCTTTTCCTAATAGTGATCAGCAAATTTTAACAGGCAGCGGAGATAGCACATGTGGTTTGTGGGATGTAGAGAGCGGGCAATTGTTACAGAGTTTTCAAGGGCATTCCAGTGATGTTATGTCCATTGATTTGGCGCCGAGTGAAACTGGAAACATATTTGTATCAGGTGGTTGTGACAAAATGGTTTTGATTTGGGATATGCGCAGTGGTCAGTGTGTGCAAAGCTTTGAGGGACATCAGTCCGACGTTAATTCAGTAAGCAATGACTTCATATTTTTTATATCTTGTCATTGACAAATAAGAGATGTTGATTGTATTAATAATTAATATCCAGAATGGATTGAATAAAACATTACTGTTTTCTAAATAAGATTATTTAAAACTTGCAAACATTTTTATGCCATTCTTTTTTCTTAATTAAGATCTAAATATCTTGACTATCTTAAACTACAAATACTAAAACAATTTTGTTGCTGTCTCCAATAGTTTATGGAAAACAGTTTGTAATGCTTCATTTGGTCTATTTTGTTTTCTTTTCTTTTTTTTCAGAGTATAAATATTTAATATAATATTGTTTGTTACGTAGGTAAGATTTCATCCAGGCGGCGACGCGATAGCAACAGGTTCAGACGATGCTACTTGTCGTTTATTCGATTTACGTGCTGATAGGGAAGTTGCAGTATACGCAAAAGAGAGTATAATATTTGGAGCAAACGCAGTTGATCTCAGTGTAAGCGGACGTTTGCTTTTCGCCGGATATAACGATTACACGGTAAACGTATGGGATACTTTAAAGTGTCAGCGAGTAGCATTATTGTACGGGCATGAAAATCGAGTTTCATGTCTAAGGGTTTCTCCGGATGGTACTGCCGTATCTACTGGAAGTTGGGACTCAACTTTGCGAGTTTGGGCTTAGCTTCGTAATTATTACTATTATCTTAAACATGTTGAAATACCAAATATTCTTGCTATGCAGCACATAGTTAATATTTCCTCATTTTATTCTATTTATTTAAATTCTCGCCTCTTTTCTCGTGTACTTTTTATTCATATTTTATTCACGTTTTCATCATACTAAATATGTATGATGTATATATACATATATATATACATTAACTGTTGTGCATTTAATAGCAAACATGTTATGTCATATGCAAAATATAATCAGTAATACATAATTATGGTAATGTGATAAAATTAATGAAGTTGCATTAGGCTGGTCCTAATTTACAGAAAAATTTTCGTAAATATAATTCGTAAATATAATAGTGAAGTCAAAATATGTATGTGACAAAAAATAAAAATTTCATAAATCCAAATCTTATCGGTTTTCTTTTTCTTCCTTCAAAATTCCTCCAATTTTATGATACACAATTATTTAGCATAAATATTTTTGATTTAAAAAAAAGATTGATTCTATTCTCTCTGAGAATTGTTACACTCGTAGAAAATAGTATCAATATGAGGTAATAATACATTTTTAGAGCTCTCTACAATATAAAAGATATTTATTATAAAATCATCAAAACAAATTAGAGAAAGATATAATTTACCATTTTCTAAGGCTGTGTATGAAAATAAACAAATATTTTACGTATTATATTACATTATATATCCTATATTTATTGACAATTACTGCTACTTCAATGAAATAACTTTCTCAATATGATTCTTAAGTGTTTGCAATTGAAGCATTGTTTCAGCATCCAGAGAAGGAATATGTGACATGCGTAATCCCTCTTGAGGCAATAAAGACATTACATTGCCATCAGCCAAAGGTACATTGATATTAGCAGTTTTTTCTTCAACAATAGCAGAGACCAACAGTGGACTACCCTTCATGCTGAGAACCATTTCTCCTTGGCGTGGACGTCTCAGCACATTTAATGGTGTGTTGGGCTTGATCTTTGGCGTAACCACATCGTACACGTTGGGTGGAGGTTTCAGCATCGCTGGTGTCTTGAAGTGATTAATCTCCATAAGTTTAGCTTTGCTTGCCATAGTTGAACTACGTGTCTTCCTTGTTGTGGTTACTTGTGTCCGTCTTTTACTTTTTGATGTGCTGCCTATGCTGGTACCGCCTTCAGTCGCATATCCATCATCAGATATAGCAGTGGTTAGACGCTTCATAGCTTTATTCACCGTTTTTGGTTTAGCTTTAGGTTTCGCAGGCGGCTGCATACAATTGTTGTCAAACGAGTTCACTTCATTATTGTAATTTTCCTTCTGTTTGTCGCCGTTTTGCCAAACAAGTATCTTGCTCAGCGTCATTTGACGTATCTCTGTCGGTATACGGTTAACCATAACATCGACGAAGGTCTCGAAGCTTTTGACTTCCGTCTGTGCGTCACGTTCCAATTTGGCAATACGTGTTTGTACGTGTCTATCGTAAGTCTGAATCATCATGTTATATTCTTTAATCGAATCATTCGCTTTCGTTTTGCGTGTATACTTGGTTCGCGGCATTTCGATCACAAGAACCCAAAGTGATGACCGGATTTCTTCAATTCACTTGACACGTCGTATAACGTTGCTCAATCTTATTTTGAATGAGAACATGAAATTGTTTTCAAGAATATTAAATCCGGTCTCTCGGACCTCTCTTCTGAGATTTGTTAAATGTTTCACGTTGGAAAAACCGTTATTGGTTTGACTTGCTTTCAACTGTTTACCGCATTTACCGCCATTGAACAAATATGAACCAATAATGCTAGGTGAAGTAGGGATGTAAGTACAGTAAGAACATGTGCAGTAAGGGTATATTCAGACAAACTTACATAACGCATAAACATAAGGAACACGATTGGTCCATTTCCTTATGCATTTATTATGGATACACCCTAATCTGTTGCAGTTTAAGAAAAAAAAAAACTATTTTTTGGCTAGGGTATTTTGGATTTTGGTGCCTTGCTCAGCTAATGCAACACTATTGGTGACAGCTGATTAATAGTGTGTTCGAAAATAGGTTTGGTTACTGCCAGTAAAAACAGTACTGTTGGCAGCAATGAAAATTACTGGTGCTGCGTTTTGTTTCTGCTGCCAGTAAAGCCAGTAAAAGTCAGATGTAATAACGTCAAGTCTGAAAGATAATTTTCATTACATATTTAATTTTAAGAAATTGTATGTTTAATTAGTTATTCAGACTAATAATAAAAGGCAGTAATTATGGAAAAATATATTTTACTTGACAATATTCTTTTCGAATCTTCCACTAGTGCTTCTTCGAGTGACAGTGATGACAATGAAGAATTATTAAATATTATAATAAATAATAATAGAAATAGAAATAATAGAAGAGTTACCAAAAATAAAAAATTAATTTAGGAGCATGTTGTTGTCACTATACACAGATATCGAATTTAAATCACATTTTAGGTTAGTATATATACACTATATTTGTACATAAGAAATATTGCATATACATTATTTGTATTATTTATATTATTTATATTATTTGTGTTAATAATAGTATATATTTTTTATTACAGAATGGAACGTAATACTTTTAATTTTTTATTATATTTGATTGGACCAAAATTAAACAATATTCCATTTAAAGGAAGAGAACAAATTGATGTTACAAAACAACTATTAATTACTATTTATGTTTTAGCAACACCAGATTCATATCGCTCCATAAGTGAACGATTTGATGTGTCCAAATCAACTACTTGGTTTAGTGTGAAGAGAGTAGTTAGAGCAATATATAGTATTCGAAATCAATTTATTAGATGGCCTACCTATGAAGAAGCTGAAAATACTTGGACAAACATTCAAAGACTATATGGCTTTCCTAAAGTTCTTGGCATTATTGATGGAACGCATATAAATATTCCTCGACCGAAAGAAGATGGCAATAGTTATATAAACAGAAAAGGCAGATTTTCTGTACAGTTACAAGTAAGAATAAAAATGTTACCTATGTTGTATTTTTATAAATAGAGATAGTTAATATAATATATTATACACTTTAATAAATTTTTTTAATTAACTAATTATACAATTAATTGTTAATTGTGTTATACAATTAATTATACAATTAATTAAGTATACAATTAATTGTTCTTTTTAGGTGATATGTAAAAGTGATTTGTCTTTTATTCATGTATTTGCTGGAATGCCAGGATGTGTCCATGATATGCGCGTGTTTCTTTATTCCGGAGTACAACAATATTGTACTCCAGAGTATTTTCCCGACAATAGCCATTTATTAGGCGATGCAGCATACAATATCCAAAAAAATGTTATGGTGCCATTCCATGATAATGGTCACTTAACTAGAGAACAAAAAAAATTTAATCATCGCTTATCATCTGCCCGAATAACTGTAGAAAGATCAATAGGACTATTGAAAGGACGATGGCGATATTTATTAGATAAATTACCTATGACAAGAACTAATTTAATTCCTTATTATATAATTACTTGCTGTATATTGCATAACATATGTTTATTACAAAATGATCGTATTGAAATCCCTATTATTGTTCCTGAAATATTGCATGAAATGGAACCATTAGGTATCACTAATATCTTAAAGGAAGAAGGAAATATTAAAAGGAATAGACTGATGGAAATAATTGCTCATGATGATTTTGAAAGAAGAATTAATAATTAAGATTCGTAACTGCAAAAGGATAAGATATTGTATTATTTATTTATCTTTTATAATAAAATATATGTATTGATATGTGATTTTGTTTTTGTATCCTATCATGTTGAACAATTGACTAACTTTAGCTTAAAAAATAAATGAACACAATATTTAAATTAAATCACAGATGAAAACTCATTTCAGTTTTCTATATAAAACAAAATAATCTCTTCTATGTAAAAAACATAGACGTCTAAAAAAACAAAAAATCTTAATATTTTGTGTTATATTACAGTGCGAATATATTTAAACCTATATACTTTAACTTATCAAATATGAAAATAACAGTATTAATAAAAAATAATTTATATATATATAAAAAAAACAAGTATTAAAGAATATGTTATTATATTAATGTTTAAAGTAATGTAAGAAAATTTGTACGTTTAAATATTTAAAAATATGTAACATTTTAATGCTTTTGATAATACTGTCGAACTTTTAACTTTTTTAATTCTTGCAAATGCATGTTTTTTTCTCTTTTTACATTTTCTCTTCATATATGCATATTACTATTGTTTCTGTTTCCCTAATGCTTCTTTTATTTCTCTTAATATTTGTAACTTTGTAGCTCTATAATTGGCAGTTTCTTTTCTTTTTAGTCTTTTTTCTTCTAATGAAAGTGTCAAATAATTTGCTCTTGCTTCAGTTAATGAGATTTTTCTTTGCTCTATATACAAAATTAATTATAGAAAAGTATACATTTAAAAAAAAAATGTGAAATTTCTTATAAGGTTTGTTCTTTATTGCTGCACTGGGACTGTATTAAAACGGGATAGTACAAAACATAGATAGTTTGGCCTGTACTATCCTTAGTAGTGCAGTCCCAGTATAGTTATAAAGAACAAACCTATAATTAAACCAACGGTACATGGTGCGTTTTTTTTCTGTTGGATTGCTTCAAACTAGTAAATTATTAAACATATTGTACATTGCATTTCTTTACTTACTAACTGGTGTTTCATTCTCATCACTGTTGTCAGTTAATGGAGAATGTTCAGGTTCTTTAATATTTGATCCTGCTACAGATAATGGTTTTATCCAATGTTTTTTTCGAAAAATATTATCTAATACCTAAAACATAAATATATACATATATATATATATTTGTCAGACTATTACTATTGCTATACTATTGTGTCATTTTGATTACATCTAAATATATCCAATCTTTTCTATCGTTTCCACTTTGAGCATTATGGTCAACAATTTGACGATATCGTCTCTTCAATGCATCCATTTTATTATTGCATTGGTTGCCTGTAAAATTATATTTTTTTTCCTTCATACACTTGGAAATGTCTATCCACATTTTTTTATGAGAACCTTTTCCCAGCATATATGATTTTTCTTTATATAAAGATATTAAAAGAAGTACAGCTTTATGTTCCCATTTTTCTATATTTACTTCTAAAATAGAAAAAGTAATTAATATATTTCTTACTTGTCTCCATATTATTATTATTTAAACTTACCAGTATTTAGCGTATCTGAAATGTTTTCAGTGCTAGAAGAAGTATATTTGTGAACTATATTTTCAGTATTATCAGTATTGTCAGGAACTATAGTACTTGTTACATTTGAACAACTGGATTTACTATTCTTTATTGATGAAGCAGAACTATGTATTGTATCTTTAGAATTATGTAACGTTTGTGCTTTCTTTAATAATGTAGTAGCAAACATTATGTCTAAACAAATATAAGGTAATATAAATATACATAAGAAAAAATTTTGTATATATTTACATAGCTTTAAAGCCTAGGATACTTCAAAAACTTTAAGTAATAAAGCTAACAAAGTATCCTAGATTCTAAAGCTTTGTAAATACAAATCAAATAGCACAAAATAATTTTTTTTTTTGGCCTTTCTTGGTTGAGAAAGTGTTACTGCTATTAGCAGCATGCCTTCAGTTCAGATCCCTGAACTATATGACACAAAAAAATAAATTTTATAAAAAACTAGGTTAAGTTTAAATTTGCACATTCATAATTTCAGGGAAAAGATATTAATTTTATTGCTATTATTAAAATGGATTAAAAATGTAACTTGTACCATTATGAGCACGATTATATACTTTTTTTCCACTTTTAAAACATATTGTATATTTGTTACTTCATCAAGTAATATTAAATCAATCAATTGGTTATTGTTCTGTTCATGTTGAGAAATAGAGAGAGTTTTAGATACAGATTTCTCCATTTTTCTCCAAACTTTGTAACTATACACACAATTTTTTTAATATTAAAATTAACTTATTTTTTAATATAAAAAAATTTTTTGACTACTTGAAAACTTATTCATTACATCTAGCTTTTACTGGCTTTACTGGCAGCAGAAACGAAACGCAGCACCAGTAATTTTCATTGCTGCCAACAGTACTGTTTTTACTGGCAGTAACCAAACCTATTTTCGAACACACTATAAGTTAGGTTGATCGGTGTGATTACACAGCGATTGTTTGCAAAAGTTTAACAGTTAAATTCATTAGAATTTTCAATAAAAATGGCTTATGTGGATAATATTGTTCAACAGCACGCGTCTATCGCTTCAGAGCATATGATTCCAGATTGGCTTAATTCGGAACAGAGCACTGGAGTAAGTTTTTTGAAATAATAGCAGTGATGCGTTTTTAGGTTATAATGACACTGCAAATGTCGAGATGTTAACGAAATGTATTTGTGAAGTCTATGAAATCTCCGATTTTCTGAAGTAGATAAACATTTTTTAAATCAATTGGAACGTATTCATTCATTGCATCGAGTAAAAAGAGCTGAATTAATTTCCTTCCAACATTCAAGTAGATATACATAAGTATACTGTTAGTATACTGTTTCTTGTATACTTTGAAACAAAACGCGTATTTTGAGATACATTTGCAACTTTTCCTGAATTTTGTAGAGAAGTTTTAATTCTTAAATTTATTCTTAATGACATTTAATATATCTTAATTACCTGATAATTATTTTATTGTAATTAAAGCTATTTGTTGTAAAAAAGTTGAATTGTAAAAATTACTGTTGGATCCT